CTGGCCGGGACCTGGCCGGGCCTGGGGGCGGGGCCCGGGGCGGGGCCAGAGGCTGCAAGCGAAACCCAGAAGCTCCCAGGCTGCTTTCTCCGGGGCTGTGGGTGTCCTGCCCGGCACCGGCTGCCACGCATGTTCGCAGCCGATCCATCAGTTCTGTAGAAGTTCTCTTGCCTCTCTGAGAGAACTGAGACTTGGAGAGGAGGAAAGACTGTGTTGTGGGAAGGGCGAAGGAGGCTCTTAGAGGAGGGAGAGAGAAAGGAACGGGTGAACAGGTGGTGGTGTCTTCAGCAGTGACCTCAGGTAGCTGAGGCTGCTAATCTTAGGTCTGCGTGGCCCCAAGGTGCCCAGGAGCTTGGCCAGAACTGCAGTCAGAAGGCCTCGCGTCTAGGTTTAGTTCTGTTTCCTACTTGCTGTGTGACCTAGGGTGAGACTCTTCCCTTTCTGTGCCTTGATTTCTTATGTTGAAACAAGGAAGTTGACTTAACGTTCTGATGTTCTTTCCAGTGCAAAATTTGTTCATACAACCAATATTTTCAGCATATTCTCACTGCTGTGCCTGCTCCCGGTACGTGCTGACAGCCATCAGATCTTCTAAAAGTAAAATGGAAGCCTGTGATGGGCACTTGACCAGAAATGACAGTTTTGTGAAGAGAGCTGGGTTCGAATAGGCCAGGGTTGGCTTTTGCCACAAATGGGCCTGGTGCACCATGTGCCCTGTTAACCCAGACCCCTGTGAGTGACTGAACCCATTGAAAATTAGGTTGTGGGGTTTATCAGCTGTACCTGTGTGTGAAATCTTTTTAATCAATAACAAAAAAGGTAGCATTTCTGCTCTCAAAGAATTTACAAACAAATGCAGGGTGTGGAGTGGGGAGAGGTGGTGAGAGGCATGAGAGAAGCGAGTATTTTCAGAATAAAGGACAGCTTTATGAAGCTTGAGCAGCCTGAAAGAAGGCAGAAAGAGACATTTTAAGCCGAACAGACAACCTGACTCAATGAAGAGTGAGGCATTCCATTTGGCTGGATGGAAGGAGAGTCTTAGAAACACCAGCAAGGTAGGTTGGGTCAAATCAAAGGTCAGGAGCGGGCAAAGGGAGCCTCTGAAGGTTTGAGAGTTGGGGACTAGTGCTCTGCGTTAGGGAAATCACCTGGGCAGCACTGTAAATGAGATTGGAGAGGAAAGATTGTGGAAGTCAGCTAAGAGACTCCTTAGGAGCTTATTGTAACAACAGTCCCTGTGAAAGGTAGTCAGAGTAGAACCAGACTGGTGGCAGCTGGGATGGAAGGAAGGGATGGGAGACACATTTCTTCCAAACTTGAACTCTGTGGGAGGAGTCAGACTGGATTCTAAACTGAAGAGCTGGGGGTCACCGGAGGAAGTCAGAAGGAGTTGGCTTGCTGAGTGACTGAATGGCAAAGAGCTGGCCAGCTGGCTCTATTGAAAGAATAATGGGGTAGGCACCAGATAACATTTGCAAATCAATGCACAAGGGAGCTGGGCCCTGGGCAAATCATTTGTCTTCTCTGAACCTGTTTCCTCCTAGGTGAAATTAGGGTAATGATAAGGTTGTTGTGAGGAGTAAATGTGATGACTGTTAAAACATCAGTGCCTTTTTAATGAGGATGGCTTGGTATGTAAATGGTGCATATTGTCAGCCAAAGTTAAAATAATTGTTTTTTAAAAAATTCATTTCCAGAATTGGAAGCCAAGGCAAATTAAAAGTTTTTCTTTGAAATGGCACCTAAAATGAATCAACATTAAATTTGACTACATGAAAAAAATTATTTATTTTGATATTCAGATAGTCCCAGTTTGGCTAGTAGAAACCTCTTCAAATGGTCTTCTGGGTTCTTTTGACATGCCCTCATTCTTTGGTCATTTCCTTGCTTTCTGGGAAAAGATATTCCAGGTACATTTTGTGCTTTCCCTGTTCCAGGGATGAATCAATTCTCTTAGGAGTCCTAGTCCCGTTTAGTGTAGATTGGTACTTAGAAACTGAGATCTGAGTACTAAGTGTACTCATTTCTATTAGGGTGTCCGTT